TGAATTCATTTACATTCACTTAATATACTCATCATTCTATAACAAGTGCTCTTTCCAAATATACTGGATTAGTTATTTGTTAAATTAAACCAACTTTTTTCACAAGGCTATATTGGTACAACATCATTGATACAACCAATGAGGAAAAATCATTTCCAGTGTCTAGTAACACCAAATATTCTACTAAAAATAAGTAGCATATTTAAACATTTGACCATAATATTGATTATGGCCAAATGTTTAAATATGCTACTTATTTTATTTTATATGCTTTTATCAATATCAAGATTTTTATATTATTATGCAAATTACATAAGTAATGAAAGGTTCTAGTTTGAATATGTATTGTTTTGAAATCTGATAACACTGTAAACATAAAATGAAAAGGAGATAAGGTACTGATTCTCTTAAAATACCACTTGTAGCAAGTTTCCTCAAGGTCAAAATAAGTAAACAAACTTTGTATCACAATTTATTGCTGTAATCAGACAGTAAAAAAAATAATTGAATTACTATCAGCTACTGTTAAGTAAACTTGTCTACAATTATAACAAAAAATCATTAAGCTGATGTCAAAGAAGATATTTGTTTACACTCTATACTTATCACAGAGTACACAGGGAGAAATTACTTCCCCATCAATGATTTGAAAATATCTTAGCAACTTCCTGAAATTACAATTTTTGGAGCTTATATAAATAATATATACCATCTCTTGAAGAAGATGAGATTTTTAATAAAAAATTAAATTTACTTTAGGAAGAGTCACAATTTAAATAGGATAATAATGAATTAACACCTATACTCTCATTAATAAATTTACACAGGAATATCCCATTAATAGACATGTATTATTTTCTCAAAAATAAATTATTGATTCTTGATATTTATTAAGCTTAGCTTGGTAAAAATATTTGATAAAAAGATTATTTTTTTACTTTGGTCCCATAGTTGCATGGAACACATTAAAAGGGCTTTGTGTCACATTCAACATGAGTTGGTGCTGTTAAATATCTTTACTAAGCTTAGCTTAGTATGGTACAAAGCCAAGTAAGAGCGAAATGTGGAGAAGATCGTATTATATCACTCTTTCAACTTTCAGGAGAGTTTACCTGCTCCAGCGTTCAAATGTTGGCTTTTTGCTTTTGCTTGAACACTGATCACTGACATGGATGGAAAATTCACAGTTATTTCAGACTGGTTTTCTCACAAATAAAGTTGTTTTAAATATTTAATCTTGAGTTCAAGCCAATAAATGAATATTCAGCCTTTTAGCCTATGCTTATAAATTCTACTGTATTTTGACAGTGTAAAAAACATCCACCATGGATTTAGCTAGTTGAGGTATCTGCTTGGCTAATGTTTAACCTGGCACCATATACTAACAATACTTGTACAAGTATTGTTAAAGAGGTTTTATCTTGTCTGAAATAGATTAATTCATAGAATATGTTCTAAAAATTTGAATTTAATTTATCTATTTTACTTTAGCAAATCTTAATTTATATATCTTTTTAAAATTCTTCTTCACAAACACTACATATTTTTAATTTCTTTCTTTTCATTGGTCGACTTTAATGTTTGCAACCAGTTAATGAATGTTGAAAGGGTTTATTGGATTTAGATATGCATCTAAATCATTTTTTTTATGTTTTGTTTTTATACAGATTACTGACAAATGGCTGAATCTGGCCTCATCAGGGTAGTTGATGATATGCATATGCTACTTTCAAATGCTTCCAATTTATTCCAAAAATCTGGCGCACTAATTTGCTTTACATTAGCAAGGTTTTATCGACAAAATTTTTCTTAAATATTTCAATTGAATCTCAATAGAGATTTATGAACTTTACAAAATATTTATATTTCTTGTAGTAATGAAAGCTTTGTCTATAATTTATCACGAAATTTGATTGAGAGATAAAAAGTTACATATCCTTCTTGCGCAACTCAACTGAAAGAAAGAAGAAATTCAGTTAACCTACAATCACGACGACAATTAATTATGACAATTATAATGTGGGTACACATTTTACCAGGTGATCAAAGAGCTTTAAAAATATTGATAAAGAAAAATAAAAGTACCAACAACATAACAAAACTTACACCTGTCAACATTCATCTGTGATAAGCCAACTTTCATTTTTTCACAATCACCAGGTAAGAACAAAATGTCAAACGAGAAAATAGTACAGTACACGACATCCGACAAAAATGGATCAAAACTTATTTTTTTATTACAATCAAAGAAACTTTGAAAATCTTTGATTTACAAAACAAAATTTGTCTAATTTTTTAACTGTTGTTAAATAAAAGCTTCTCGGTCACGTGATCCAAACAACCCAAAACTATATTACACTTCACTAAGGATTTCACAATTTGGAATATTTTTCAGATTTAGCTTGCGATCACTTATTTCTAAGTAATCATAAAAAAAAAGAAAAGGAATCTAACTAATGTCTTTTTTAAAAAATTCTAAATATTGGAATTGTTTTTAACTTTTTACACAATACGTCAGAGTTTGAAGAAGAGACACTTAGTCTCTACTAATTAAATAATGTGTGTTGCTTTAGTTTTTGGGGTCATAAAAACTTTCTTTATTATGAAAGAAAACTAAAATTGTAATCAAAACTGAAAATTGTTCCGGCTTGAGAATTGTGGTAGTTTTAGAATTAAATACCAGCCAGTAAATGATTTTTAAAAAGTATTATTAAAAGACCTTCCGCTTTTTACAGACTGATAATAGTGAGAGACACAAACTATCACTTTGCGACCAGCAATCAAAAAGTTTGTAAGTAAACTCTTGAAAATTTAAGCTTACCTTTCATGAATATAATTAAGATTTGAAATAAATTTAAATAAAAAGATCATAGCAAAATACAGAGAATCTGCAGTTAGAGAAGTAGAGAGCTGATAAAAAAAAATACATGTGAAAACAGTAAAAAACCGTATGTTTCAATGTCAGAGTTGATCTAAATGGCCAGGTCTATTGCCCGAAAAATAAAATCATCTTTCTCGTGTTATTATTTTTTAATTCAGCAATCCATTTTTCATGCTTTCTGTCACTGTTCATAAAATATTTGAAATTTTCAATTTTTCTAAGCAAGTTATTTTAGAGTTTTTTATAAACTAAAATCTAACAGTTTGGTTAGTTGTTCCGTATTTTTTTATTGAATTATGATCATTAAATGTTTTTATCGTAGTGACCTTGCTTTGTCAAAAATAAGTTTTTTACAATTTATTTTTAGAAATAACAAAAAACAAAAACTCTTCTTCGGTACGGGAACAGCATCACGAACCATAAATGATTTTTTTTTTAAATAAAAATGGTCATAACAATTTTTTCACGTATTACATAATAAAGAATGACTCGAATGTTGTTATTAATATTGCTTCTTAGTTTATAAATTCAATAAATGTCAAATGTAGTTAACTCAAGCGGCAAATCGTCCAGATACACATGCGCAATCAAGCGACAACATGGCAGATTAAGAAATATCGCATCAACAAACATGCTGTTCTTTTTCAGACTTTTGAATTAATATGTTGCGTTTTCAATAAACTTATTCCATGCACCGAGTAAGTATCAGGTACGTAAAATTCAATGAATTTTAATTTAAAGCTGGTTATATTCACGGTGTATTTTAGAATCTACCTAAAAATTTTAAAAGTTAAATTTAAAAAATCTTATAAATTATCAAATGTTTTGAATTTTTGATATTTATTTTTATCTCGATCAGTCGAGCAAATTTTTTAACTTGTTGGACAAGTTTAAATAAAACAATTGAAAATTCAAGTCTACGGACCTAAAATAAATTTAATTTCTCAGCTCTGTCGATTTGTAAATAAATTACAACTTAAAATAATTTCAAATCAATGCTTCGTCGATAACTTCTTTTACTTTATTTATTAATGACAATGTTACTTTTTGATTGTGTACTGAATACTACACATCAACTATTGGTTATGACCCTAAACTCAAAACCTGTTAAATTTCATTTACAAATGCAAAACGTAAATTTATTTTAAAATTAATAGAAGTTTCAGAAAAATTGTGTGCTCATGCCTAACTTTGGATCATGTTAGTTTAAGTTTTACTTAATCAATATAACGAACATTTTTTTCATACAACGAATATCTTGCATGAATGTCATTTAAAGATTGAATTCCAAGTTTATTTTTTTATTTTAAACTATAAAAAAAAATAAATAAAGACTACCCTGCTTTCCAGAAAGTTTTTAAAAAATGAATTTCATCGCGATTGCGTATTGGTTGATTGAATTTGAATAGAATAACATTTTTCTCTGAAATTATTTTTTATAAAAATAGTCGAAGTTTATTTAAAAACTTTTTTGTACAAAAAGATTGATTCACTTACAAAAAAAAAAGTTAGTAAATGAAAAAAACGTATTGTTGCTAAAAAAAAAAAAAACACAATTTCCTAACTAACTCAATGTAAAGAAAGAACAAGTGCCCTCTAAACATTACAGACTTGATAATTCGAAAACAAACAATTTAAAACGGCTATGGTATAATTCTATGCAAATCTTAAACTAAATTCATTACTGAGTGAAGAAGTGTATTATCTGGTTCGTTAACACTAACATTTTCTACACAAACGAAAACGATCTTTTTCATTGGAACACTCTCGAGACCACTTACATTAAAGTTGAGGGTTGAAGACAATGTTTCTTTATTTAAAAAGAAAACCATTCGCCGTTTTTAATTCAGATGAGAAGTGGAAGTAGTCGTTTATATTTTAACTACTTGTAATCAATTCAAATAATACGCGATATTATTCCATAACAGCAGAGTATTAGCCAATACTTTATCTTATCTAACCTATCTTCGGATGCTTCTAAATGAAGACATATTAGTATTGCAGTTAGCCAATCGAAAGGTATGTTTCCATCACGTGACCATCAGTGGGTATAAAAATCTAGCCACCAAATACTCGGCCTCTTTTCCACTAGACGATTGGAAGAGACGAGTGTATGAAAATGGCTGGGGCAGCTATAAACGGCCAGACTAACGGTGACCACTATCAAGAACTGAACAAACACTGCGCTGAGGAATGCAGCCAGGATGACCTCGATACTTTCCTTTTTACATCTGAATCTGTTGGAGAGGGCCATCCAGGTAGATGATTTCTTCAATTTGGATTGTACAAGTGAAAAGTCCTAGGCTACAAACACGTTTATTTTTAAATTACACGCTACTTCATTTTTTCTTCCTTACTTAGTTCCTTCCTTACCTGTCTTTTTTGTTTGTGTCTATGTAAAGGTTAAATTGTTTGAATCCTATGCATCATAAAGGATTTTTAAGTTGTTATAATTATATGGAAGTGTTCTGTCTAAAAATATATACTTTGTTAGGCAATTACAGCTTCAGGAAATGGAATATACTTAAAATGCCGACCGTCTCATTCTGATGTATTTTAGTTTTTTCTGTATTTAGCTTTATCTTTTGAGTACATTTTCTCATTAGTGTTGACAATTCAGTAGATCGTTGTGCACTTTCTTGTTTTTTCACCAAAAAAGAAAAGCTATTTCATCAGTTTGAATTATTTTCAGTTTGAATCAACTCTTATGAACTGAAATCGTCATGCTAAAAAGATTTTTTTAAGCTAAAATCCTACGTACAACACGTGGAAAATAGCAATCTCCAGTGAAAACAATCAGTCCTTGGTGAAGCATTGTGCTAGTCTTTAATCTGTTGATTTTTTTTGTTTTAAATATTAAGTAAAAAAAAAAAAAAAGTAATGGATTTGCGTAGAGCATGTCTTCCGATCTTTATGGCAATCGTGACTTTCTTATATAAAGTATTACATATTTTTTTATAAACTCTTCTTAATGACATAGAAAATCTGGAAACTTAAAACAAAAAAATCTTCAGTTTTTCAACGATTTTCCTCAAACTAACCGTGATAATTGAAAGTAGTAAAGTTATTTAACCGTCAATAGATTTGTCATGAACTACCTAAAAAAGAAAAAAAGTCACTTAAAACTTGATCTCATCTTGTGGATAGTTTAATAAAATAAAAATTAATGTGAAGTTTTTCGTGACACCAACTGATTTTTCTCGCCGCTTTTATTCTACTGAATGATGTTCCACCTTTTTGTTTGTTTTTTGTTTTTTTAAATTGAATTATACAACAGTTAATTATCAATTTTTGTTTATATAGATTGCTCTTTAGATTCAGAAGAAATTCTTTAAATTTTTGTCTTGGCCACTTATAAAAATTGGTTCTCGATTTAACTTTTATCAACGTCTTTTCTTTTCTAGTGAAATAAATAATTGTATCCCTTTTCTCCTCTTTCGATTGTCACATTAAGCGGTGTAATAGCAAATGTTCCCGATAATATTGCTCTCTAGATGCTGGATTATTTTTAGTTCGTTGTGTTTTTTGGGAGGGGGGTGTTAAGTCGTTTCTCTTTTCTATCGGCTAATTACAAGGTTTTCTCTTTATTTCAATTTCCAAGTTCATATTAAACTCGGATTTTCCAGCAAAACCCCGAACATTTAATCAAGGTGTTATATTTATCGTAAACTCGACTAAAATGGCTCTTTTTAAATCTTGCATCCCTTACCAGCACCACCGAGATAATGGTGTTTGGCTGAACAGGGTAAATAAAGTAGCCAATTTTTTGTTCGTCATAGAATAACAAACAGTTGAAGACCAGTGTGATTGTAACTACCCCCACCCAAGTGATTTTTCCCCCTAGCAGCTGATGAACATCAATCAGTTGACACTTATCTTTATCTGCTTTATACGAATTTTCCATAGAATTGGTATTATCAAATTGCAAGGAAAAACTTCTAAAATACACAGTTGTGATGTATTACCAATTAGCATTTCTACTCTAGCTCATGGGATTAATCCTGAGTGTTTATTGGTTTAACAGTAGTAACACTATTTTAGAAATATTACTTTTAGCAAAATGTAGAAATGTTTAATGATGTAAAATTCTTATTTTTGAGATCTGGCCCCTTTTTGTTAATTTCCTTGTCTAACAAAAAATATTTAGTTTTAAATTTGTTCCGCTGCGGCTGATAAGATAGTGTTTTTTAACTGATTTTGAAATTGCATATCATTTTTTACTTCTACAAATAAAAAAAAAAAGTTAAATAAAATCAGTGTGCATTTGATTTGCAAAAAGTAACTCCAACAGTAACTAATTTTTTTATTTTCACAAGAGCTGATAGTGCTAAACACTACTGAAAAAAAATCTGAGCTCCTCACAAGATCTCAGAATGAGTACCTTGTTTCAGCATACATGTTCAAATGATAACATTATAAAGAAAATACACTACTACAGTATTGATTGCACTTCTCAAATTTTATATGAAACTATATCTGTAAAACTTTAGTCAAATTTTAGGTTTTTACTGTACAACACTAAATCACTTGTCTAACGTTTTTAATCAGTTGTTACTTCATCTCTTTTTAGTCAATTATGGTAACATCTCAAATATTAATTTCTTAATTGAAATAAAAAAAAATCATTTGGTGTGTTATTTAAAGATTTACAAGTATTTCACATTGCTCTCTGTGTCTTTTACACTGCATTTAAAAAAGTAATCCCTATCTGTTTTATATGGATTGTGGGATATGGATAGCATAGTATACTTCATATCTCTTGGTCAGGCTGAAAATATATATGCACACAAACACCTTAATTATTCACCTTTGTATGCTGACATTACTTTCCTTTTTATAAATTTTGATAAAGCCAGTTGTAATAATTGGCATGCTTAACAAAATGCAGTTATTTATATACTACCGAAACCTTTATATACGCACACATAATCACACTCTGACAACTGCTTTTCAATAGTTCTAAGTATTATGCCCACAGCTTCGTTTTTTTTTGTTTTTGTTTTTTCCTTTTCTGTAAATTGTCTTGCTGTTTTTGTTCATATGGGTTTTAGACATGAGACTGCTTCTTGTTTCCGCCTTTTCATTTTAGGCTTAAGTTTTTCTGTTGTATAAAATCTATACAAATTTTCAGTAATGCTGAAATTTTATCTAAACTAGTGTAATTGGTGACATTTCATTTTTAAAATAAATGAGCGCATGTTTAATTTTTCAGCTGTATAACTAGTAATAAGATTTGTAAAGTATCTCCATTAATTCACTAAAAAACAAAAAATTGATGAAAACAATTTATCATCTAAATGTTTAAGTTTTTTGCTTTTTTTAATCCTTCCTAACGTCCGAAATTTTAGTTAATCTTTGTTCTTTTGGGATGGGTGTAGTCAGCAAGATTGCCCTTAAATCAATATCCTCCATTTTTGCTAAATTTGTAAACAAAAAGCTAAATTCTCAGTTTAAAAATCTTGTAAAAATCAATTTTCAAAAGTTATTTGAGGAAAATTAGATTAGAAAATTTAAAGTTTATTTAATGTAATTGAAAACAAACGTTTTGTTGAAAATAAGAGAAGCCTGTTTAATTGTGATGGCTTTTGTTTCTTTCTCTTAAGGTGTGAACTGACGTTTACGTTGATGCATCCGATCAACAGCTTACGTCAGAGGAAGTTATTGGACACAAGTGACAATATTTTTGAATTTTAAGTGAACCAGCTTATTTAACTATATACAGTAATTTTTAAAAGTTAAATACTTTCAAAAGTCTAATATTTTAAGGTGCTTTTTTTTTCTTTTTCTTTTTTTAATAAAGATATGTCCAAAGCCTGCACTGTTTCTGTCCCTGAAATTGAAACTAAAAAGGAAATAATTAAGAATTGCAGTATGTCTCTCACTAAAAAACGATAAATTAATCATTTAAAAAATTAAATTAAAATATTTAATGAAATAGGATGTAGAAAAGAAAATTAAAAATTTTGGAACTGTGATGATGATGACCAAACAAAGTGTCAGTCAGTCAGAAAATTCAAAACGTGCTCTCAGAACGAAAACGCAAAATTTTCTGCTGTCAATTTCTTCTTGTTAGGCGAAACGACTCTTAAGACTTGACATTGTCAAGCACGTCCATCCTTATATTTAGAAAAACGTCTTTATGAAATAGTGTAAAATTCTTTTTGAAATACATGTGTCGCAGATAGTACTAAACTTTTGATCTGTAAAGATGGGTCTACTTAATAACAGCATTCCCTCAAGGCCATGTGTTGAAACTTAATTTTAAAATATTTAACAACTTTACCACATTTTGTATTTTAAATTGGGGGGGGGGGGGCCTATAAAAATTCGTTTTTCACCGGAAAAATATTTTTGCTTCAGACAATATTGCCTTAACATATTCATAAAAGCCATTAAAAGCTTTTCTAATTAACTAATGTCTTAGTTTTATTGGTTTTTTTATGACAATTCAGAGCTGAATTTTGGGTAGCTGTGTATTTTGATTTTTTTTTTTTTTTTTTTTTTTTTATTTATATTGAAAGTCTTTTGCTTTTAACTAATATAATCACTAAAAGGCATGACGTCAAATTTCTCAGGTTTTCATAAAATTAATTGGAGGGGGTGGTAGCGTTTTTAAAATAAAAAAAATTACCATGACTAAAAAAAAAAGTCAATTTCATTTGAATAAGTTTTGAAAGATTTTGCAAGACTGTCCAAATCAATGTCTTTTTCACACTAAAGGCGCTAAAATACTATTATATGTAGGCTACTCACATTAAAATAAATTAATAAAATTAACCAGGATGAAAAAATTTAATAGAATAATCAAAAAATACTGTGGTCTTTCCTCTTAATAACATAAGCATTATACTGATAAAACTTTAAGTTTGGAGTCTTTTTTTCATCATGCTATGGATGCTCGTTTTGCGTTTTTGTTTGTTTTTTAATCACTAAATTTTAAATTGAAATAAATATTGTCTGAATTAAAATTGTCAAAATTATTCATTTGGTTTGTATATTTATTTTCCGTTCCTTCACAGGTTGACTTTATTATCTTTAGTTCCTTAGCAGCTTCAGGATCGGACTTTTCTGCTTTCTAGAAATTTAAAATACTATGACAGCTGTTCTTTCCTTAGTGTGAAGGTTTGATGTTAGTTTTATCATAGCTGATAAAAAATGCAGGTCACTAGATGATTCACTGTTTTCCATAATACTTTAGTTCATTCACAGGACACTTAAATCACTAGTCAAAGAGAATGAAGTTGTTTTGTATTATTTATGGTCACTTTTTTTTATATATATAATATATATATCTATCCAAATATTACTGTTGTTAGGTCTGAGTATTGTTTACTACTTTTATAGATTTTCTAATTATTCTTACAAAAACATTTATATATAAAACAAACACATGAGGTCTCTGAAAATTATCAGACCAATTCACTTCCCAAAATCTGACTAAACAACTTTATTTTACTTTATCACAAACCAGTCTAGTGTTGAGATGCTACTGATGCATCCATGGTTAATGGTGATAATTTGATTCCAAGATTATGCAGGCTTACCAGCTGATAAGTACTTGTTAGAAGAACTTCTGTGAAGCATCCAATGAAGTAATTAATATATAAATAAAACTTTTTTTTTTTTTTTTTTACAGCTAAAGTATTCAGATAAAGGTAAAGTCATAAAAGTAATGATTTATACCAAATAAAAAATTTTTTCATACTCCTAAAATATTCTTTTGAGTTAAGCAGATCCTAATAAATAGATACATGTATATTAAATACATGTGTTTCATTTCCTGTTTGAAAAAAATTTTTCCTGTATTTTCTTTGCAACTGAGGTTAGCAGAATTATTTTTTAACTGTGATAGAAAATGCCCAAGTATTATATATACTGACTTTTTCCTCTTTTTTGAAACAGACAAAATCTGTGATCAGATTAGTGATGCCGTCCTTGATGCCCACTTGGAACAAGACCCTAATGCAAAAGTAGCCTGTGAAACAGTTGCCAAAACTGGAATGATCCTGGTCTGTGGAGAAATCACATCAAATGCTAAAGTTGATTACCAGAAAGTTGTGCGCGATACCATAAAACGTATTGGTTATGATGACTCTTCCAAGGGTAGGTCCTTCTCCCTTTTATATTCCTTTTATATTTAAGCTTTCTTGAATTAACACTTAATTTTGCATGCACCTTTTTTTTTATTCTCGAAAATAGACTTTCTTAGGTAGGGTTAGTGAGTTTTTTATGAAGAATACAAAGTGGCAAATATCTTAATCTAGAATTTAGGTACCTCCACTATTTGGGCATAAAATTTCAATACCTAAAGTTTAAAATGAATTTTTAAAAGTGAAAAAACAATCTTGAAGATTTCATTTTAGTTTTTATTGAAAGCTAAATGATTATTTCCAGTATGTAATATATTCTGGTATGTTTCAGATAGAAATTATAGATTGGAATGTCAAATTTAATTTTGATTTCTTAATTTTCTTAAAAGTGGCCATCTTCTTAATTTTAAAAAACAAAACATATTTTTCTTTTCACAAATATATATTTCTGACATTATTCGAGTAAAATTAGAAAATCTGTTTTGAAATAAATACTACTTATAGCATAAAAAGTAATATGCAACCATTTATTTAATGATTGGTCCTGCTTATAGCTTATCTGAGGTGATAATGGATAGCCAATTGAGTGATGAAGTGACAACAGCTAATATGGGTGGCTAGAGTTCATACAAAACTTTTTTTTTTTTTCTTTTTTTTTTTAATTACCTAGTAATTTTTACAAATGAACATATTTTCCGCAATTATTTAATAAATTATTGACTTTTATTTACCTTTCAAAGAGGCTTTATGCAAAAATAAAAAAAAAATTATAATACTATAAAATTTTCTTAAATTAATTTCTCTGTAAAGAGACAAAATTCTTAATTTACATGACAGTTTCATGTTACATTTAGACTTTTGTAGATGAAAATAGAGAACAATTAAGTAAAAAAAAAAAAAAAAATATTACTTTAAAAATAGAATAGTGTAGCTACATTTCAAAATCTTTTCAATTTTAGATTTGTAAATTTCGTTTCCACTTAATTACTATATCACAGCCCAGCACAGAATTTTACACAATTTTAAACTATTACAAATTAAAATATAAAAAAAAAAATTGGAAATTTTTGTAAAAATTCATTCATCAGAAAAACTTTAGTTCTTTGGACAATAGTGTCCTTAATATAACTTATTCACAAAAGCAATTAAAAGCTTTTCTAATTAAATAATATCAGTTTTATTGCATTCATTATTTTTCAATTCAGAGCAGATTTTCAGAATAGTGTAAGTTTGAAAAAAAAAAAACATTAGGTGATTTAGATTCTCCAAAACAAATAAAAAAAAAAAAAAAAAAATCAGGAAATACAAAAGTTTTTTTAAATTTTCATGAAATTAAGTGGGATGGTAATGTTTAAAAAAAAAAAAAAAAATTATCATTTGTGAATAAGTCCTGAAATTTTCATTAAAATCAGTCAATTATTTGATTTTTACAAGAATTTCCAAATCAGTGTTTTCAACAGGGGCGGGGAAAGTGCAAAAGTCAACATTATTATTATTATTATTATTATTATTATTATTATTATTATTATTATTATTATTATACTGCAATGATGTAAACAAAACAAGGTTTTAACAGAAATTTCTTAAAATAATTTTATAATAATAATTTGGCCTTTCATCTTAATAACAAACATTTCGACGGTAATACTTTAAGTTTGTAGCTTTTTCCATTATACTGTCCTTTTTCCCCACAAAAAAGTGGGGTTACCTAAACTAGGTGATATACAAAATGATACTGTAAAGGTCTCTGCCTGATCAAAAAGATTGTCATTTGGTGTACATTTGGCAAAGGATTTCTTGGCACCAACTTACAATTTCTAAGTATATCTGACTCCTTTCTTTTACAATATGCAGAGTATCATTACATTCTTGTCACTTGGAGATTTTTAAATAAAACATTCACAGATTTGAATATTACCAAACATGAAAATTTGAATAAAGTAACCAATACATAATCCATCTAAAGATATAAACATTCTAAGCATAATGCAAAAATAAAAATTGATATCATAAGCATCTCTTTAGTTTGAGAAGGTTTCAGATTATTAGGTTTAGCTGACTATTACAAAATGCAAATTACCATGATGCAGTTTTAGACAATACTCGCTTTGGCAGAATTTAATGTATCTGGAACAAATGGTCAGTCTGAAATTTCTCAAGAGACTGTCATAATTTTTTTTTCTCCCTTGAAAGATTTTAAAAATAAGACTTTGCCTGGTACTTTGAAAATGAACATGCCCACTTAATACATTCATTTGCTCAACTTACAGGTTTATTTGAAAAAAATAAAAACTGACATATTACAGGGATAGCTGGTGCAACATTCATACAATAAGCCACAACTGAGCTATGTTTCAATAAATATTATGAACACAAGTACTAAGCATACAAATTCATTGAAGAATTACAGAATCTTACTTATAAAACGCAGATTGTGTGTGTGTGTGTGTCTGTAACGTTTATATATTGGATCGGATTTCCTACATTTTTCAACCGATTTCAACAAAACTTCACAGGACTAGATAAAATTACCTTGTGGTGGTTCTAACAGTGCCAAAAATGAGGAAAAATATAATTGTTTTTGCACAAAATCAATTTGAAAACACGATTAAGAGACATCGTGAAAATGGAAGGGGGACAACTCACATCGGGCTGTTTGTGTGGGTTCCTTTAAATATGGGAGCAGATTTCCTATATTTTTCAGCCGATAAAACAAAACTTTACTTTTTTTTTTTTTTTTTTTTTTTTTTTTTTTTGCAGGTAGTTTCTTATTCTCTTGCACACTTTTTTCTTTATTTTTAACATTCAGAATGCTTTAAAAATTCCATTTACAAGACAATTATTTATAATAAAATTCTATTCAATTGGGAGACTCATAACGATTGAAAATAATGTTTTTTGTTTGAGTTTGGGTTTGACCAATTCCTAAAAAAAAAAAGAATTAAGACATGCATGTCCGTCAACCTTAAACAATGATCTAACGATCTCTACTGATTGTACGAATACAAACACCGGATAAATTCTTTATAAGTCCTAACTAAAAATAATAACCGGAACGGGAAACTACTTTAAATACACATGGTGCCCAATTTTTTTACTGTATTCAATCAGTAAAAATCATAAATTGTTGTAAAAGATTCTATTCAATTGGGAGACTCATAACGATTGAAAACAATATTTTTGTTTCAGTTTGGGTTTGACCAATTCGTAAAAAATAAAAAAACTAATTAAGACATGCATGTCCGTCAACCTTAAACAATAATCTAATGATCTCTACTGATTGTACGAATACAAACATCGGAATAAATTCTTTATCTTTAGGGAAAGATAATGAAATCTAAACATAATAACCGGAACGGGAATACTTTAAATGGTGTCAAATCTTTTTACTGTATTCAATAAGTAAAAATCATAAATTGTAAAAGATTATTATTACAGAAAGGCTACTAAATAAGATTTGTTAGATAATTAATAAACCCAAATAAAGTTAATATTTTTTGTATTAGAAACAACGAGTGGAAAATATATTCAAATCTGAATTCTAATTATGAATCACCACAAGCAAAATATGCAATAAGTAAAAATCATAAATTGTAAAACTAAAAGATTACAGAAAGGCTACCTACATTTTTCAACTGATTTCAACAAAACTTCACTTTTTTTTTCTTTTTTTTTTTCTGGCATGTAGTGTTTCTTATTGTCTTGCACTTTTTTTTTATTTTTACATTCAGAATGCTTTAAAAATTTCATTTATGAGACAATTGTTTATAAAATTATTCAATCGGGAGACTCATAACGATTGAAAAAAATGTTTTTGTTTGAGTAATTCGTAAAAAAAACAAAGACATGCGTGTCCGTCAACCTTAAACAATAATCTTTGTCAATTTTATTTTTCAGTCTTTGATACTTGATCTATCTCTTACTGTTATATCCCCGGGCAATGCCGGGCTCTACTGCTAGTAGTTACTAAGAACACCACAAAATCTTTGTAAATTAGTGGTTGCAGTATGCAAATTTAGTTGATGACATTTTGGTTGTTTACCATCTCAAGAAACTTGGGCTGTTCAAAACATCATAATTATGAGACGCTATGTGTCTTAATATGATGAGTCAAATGAGATTAGGAAGAAAAGGACTGTTTTTGATAATGGGTACTTCTCTATCAAACAGCTAAAATTCAAAGAATCTGTGCTTGTCAATCAACACCTTCTTATTGAAAGTCTTTATAAAAAATGTTTCCTGTAATCTACCCTGCAACTAAAATAACTTATCCCTGAAACTAATTTCTCCAGTTTTTGATTCTAAATAGAATTTAAAATATTTTTAATTTATTGATATTCGTTCTAATTTCACTCCAACGAGCAACTTAGAATTATTTTCATTTATCAGATAGGAAACTTTTACTTTGAGGTTAAAGTAATGTTTTGCTTTATGTAAAGTCGCTGAACTATTTGATTCTTTTTTTGAAGATATAAATTCAAACATGGAATCAGATTAGGTCATCTGGGATTGAAGTGATAATGTATATTTGTAAATGTGTATATTTAGTAGGCCTTTTTTTTACTTGTTGATTTAACATTTTTATGAACATACCATTTTTAGATAAATATAAATTAGATTCTTTAAGAATGAATTCAGTAAAGGTTAGTGATGTAATATATTTTTGATGCGTTTATAGTTGGTAATATTAGTAGGCCCTCAAATTACTTTGTAAAGAATTATGTTTGTTTTTAATTAGGATGGCATTAAAAAAAATAAGTTATGACCAGTTTTGTAGTGTATTACAAGAGATAGAATGGTTGAATAAGAATAGATCTTTATAAATGTTTGTAGAGACTGGTTTTTAAGTCTTGTGATGTCTTCCCGACATAAATTCTGAATCCTACATAGACAAACTAGAATTATTATACACTTGTTTACATGAAGCAATATTTACACTTTTTCAGGTAGGCTTGGAATCTCACAAATTCAACTATTGTTGATTTAAATAGTTTAATGCATGTGAAGCATTAACCAATAAAAATCAGACATAAAAGTAAAAATACCAAAATTTTTCTCATTTTCTGACACTTTAATAAGTGAAACATGTTAGATTGCTAAACATTTCTTATTTGTTCTTTTTATATATATATATATATATATATATATATATATATATATATATATATATATATATAGTGTGTGAGAGGGGTTGACTGTAAAATAGGTGGCAATTTGTTGCAGGGATTCAAGATAAGAATGTCTGTTAGATCCATAGAAGCTCATTGGGAAATTTTCATAGGCGAACTTAGCCTAAGAAAAAAGACCAGAAATATTGAAGGAAAACAACAGGTTTTTTTTTAATTAAAAAAAAAAAAAAAAATACTAATCAAGAGAAACTTTGCTTGAGTTCTAGACTTAAGTTACATGTATATGTGGTTGTGGTATCCTGCATGCTGCTATAAAACTGAATATGCTGTTATTTCTGAATACATACATCCACCCAACAACTTTGTATTATCACCAGCAGATGTAGCCTCACATTAAAATCCCAGTAGATAGGTGTGCATCAAATGTTACAGTGAACTCTATTAGATTTATCAGTCCAATCACCTTCATAATCAGATTTTTGAGATTTGCCACTTAATTGCTTTTTCAATTCAAGAATCTGAAACTTTTAGAAATCTAAATATTTCTCCTCCCTTTTATTTGTATTTTTAAAAAATAATTTGGATATATAGATATTCAATGTCTGTATTATAGTAATTATTTTTATTTTTTAATCACATCCATGATATAAGCCTTCATTTGACTTGCCTATGTAGTTTCAACATTGGGGACACTGCAATATTGAATATATATTTATGAAATTTTGTATCTAATAAGCAATCACAGCCAAAGAAAATATTTTTCCCTTTAAGGTGAACTGCTAGTAAATCTCTTAAAATATTGAAATCTTTTTAAAAAAAAAAATGAAATCAACTTTTGTCTTAGACTGCTGCTGAATGACAATATCTTAGAATTTACAAGAGTAACTTTTAAATATTTCTAATATACTTAAAATACTTAACTTGTTCATTAATATCCATGAAGTTACAAAATTAACTAGGTTTTATAAATACTTGTTTACATGTTTGTTAAATGTACATTTTTCATTGTAGGATTTGATTACAAAACTTGTAATGTTTTACTGGCTGTTGAGGCTCAAAGCTCTGAAATTGCCCAAGGGGTCCACATCAACAGAAGTGAGGAGGATATTGGTGCTGGAGATCAGGTAAGTCAAAAATTAAATTCAAGTTTATTTATTCAAGTTTTTTGATCTATATATATTTTATATATATATATATATATATATATATATATATATTTCTCTGTGATGGTTATCACTTGATATACTGAAATTAAACTGTTAAGATTCTTAACATTGCATAATGATTATGATATTTTGATCTCATTAAAAAAAAATGCTGAATGTTTTTTGTTTTTTATATATATATATATATTTCTATACCATTACATTGCAGGGTTTGATGTTTGGTTATGCAACTAATGAAACTGAAGAGTGCATGCCTTTGACAGTTGTTCTGGCTCACCAGCTCAATGCTAAAGTTGCCCAACTACGCAGAACTGGTGATCTTTGGTGGGCAAGACCAGATACCAAATCACAAGTAAACTGCTCTTGCATCCTCTTTCCTTCCTCCTGTTTTTGTGGCAATGTCAAAATAAGTTATGGAATTGTAATTTCTCTTTCAGAAATAGTGTTATGATTAACTTATCTAGATATAGAAGTTAACAATTAGGCATTAGCAGTTCTATACAAAAGTAGTTCTAAAACTATGCTTTATTTTATTAAAACTATATTAAATTTTCTGAAAGTCAAAAACAATGATCCACAAATTTGCTTTGGGAGATCTGCTGATGTGTTTTCTACATTTCAGGTTACTATTGAATACAAATTTGACAGAGGTATGTCGGTACCTTTGCGTGTACACAGCATTGTAATGTCTGTCCAGCATGACCAGAATGTGTCTCTAGAGCAACTTCGCCGTGAACTGAAAGAAAAAGTTGTCAATGCTGTAGTCCCCAGCAAATATCTTGATGAACAAACTGTTATCCATCTTAATCCAGCTGGTAATTTTGTTATGGGTGGACCTATAGTAAGTTTATATTTTATAACTTATTTTGATTCCTCCAATATTTTGTAACTATGCAGCTTATTATAATTTAACTTTTTTTTTTTTTTTTTTTTTTACTGTTATATAATTTGATTCTGTGATTCTTCATAAAGTCCTGTGAATATGGCAGAAACTTTTCCTAACACTAATATGCAGAATTAGCGGTACAGTGATATTTTAACTGCAATAAATATTTGGATCAACTTCCTAATGTATTTTATCAAAGTTAATCCAACAATTTTTCATTTGTAACATTTGTTAAAAACTAAACTTGTGGATACTGCTTTCTCTACAATGCACACAGTGCACTCTAGGGCTGTAGCAATGAGTTTATTTAAGTGTAATATCTTTGTATTTCTGGGCAAAAATGAGGAAAAATGATTTTAAACACCTAAGAATCATTTGTATTAAAGTTGCTATATTGCACATAAGCAGTCTATTACCAAAGTATTGAGAAAAGTTAAGTTGAAACTTGTGGATAGAACAGTAAACAAATGTTCTGTGTAATCAGTTGAGATGGAAATCTGACATTACTGCTTATCAAGGGAAGTAATTGCTTTCAGTGAATTCACACGTATTTTTTCTGAATAAACATGCAATTTTTAATGTATTCTTGGATATATTATTGGAATCCATGAAAAGTCCTTCTCAATTCTCCCAAGTTACCAACTTAATACTTTTTTTTAAGCTGTAACTTGCATATCCTTGTTTGATTGTTAGTCACCCTGGGTCTGAAGCAAAGAATTCTCCCAACAAAACCCATCTTTGTGTGCCTTTCTTCTCAGGGAAATTAAGATTTGGCTACAAAGACCAGCAGGCATCACTCAACTAAGCTATATAGAAATATTGCTTGTTTTATTCTTTCACTAAATGTATTAGATTTAATGGTCTTAGATAGAGCCTTATTTAAGTGGGTGCTGAAAAATAATTGGTCTGGCTAAGGAACTGTTCTTAAAGAAATTCTGATATTTGGTCAAACCTTGAATTATGCCTATAACTTTTCAGCACCCTTACTTTTATTTTATTTTTTTACAAAATAAGAATGCCATGGCAGTAATCTGTGTAAAAAAAAAAAAAAAAAGTTAGCTTCAAACCAAGAATCTAATTTCTAGTGATATTTTCATTGCTTCTTACTTTCCAGTTTTACAAAAGTTAGTTTAATTTGGAATATGTCCTGTTTTTTTTGTTTTTTTTTTTAACTACACCAAATACAACAGATCTGAAAAATAACTAAACCAGTTAGGGTACTAATGTGGGCTTGTAGCAAAATTAGTACTGAAATAGGACAACAATTGCTCTATTCAAGAAATGCTTTGGAGCCTGCAGTACAAATTCCAAAATACCTATACTTGTTTCATAGATTATAAAAGCACTTGATGGGGCATGACAAAAAAACCCACTTGAAATACTAGGAAAGCTTGATTTACATGGAAAAGTTATTAGAGTAATCTATAAGCTTGAAACATGGCCTTCATCCTAATAGAGAATGAGTTCAGTGAATATGTAAAAAAAAAAAACAAAAAAACAAGGATGTCTTTTTTTCTTACCAAATATATCAACTTACATTGATATTATCCTACATTAACTATAGAATACTCAGGATTTATTGATAAAGATATACAGATAATTGTCTTGATGGCATGCTCAGAAAAGGAAGCTAGATGTATGATTATCGGCACAAGATGCTCTGAATTTGAATTTGTTTTATTAGTGTCACCTATGTATTGGAATACCAAAATCAAACACGAGTTAACGTGTGTGTGTGTATAATGTATAAAGTAAATTAACGTGTGTGTGTGTGTGTGTAATGTATACTTTTTTTTTTTTTGTGTGTGTTAATGTTTGGTGTGTGTAACAGTTTACTGCTAACGTGTGTGTGTGTGTATAACGGTTTATAATGTATACGAGTTAACGTGTGTGTGTGTGTAATGTATACGAGTTAACGTGTGTGTGTGTGTGTAATGTATACGAGTTAACGTGTGTGTGTGTAATGTATACGAGTTAACGTGTGTGTGTGTATAATGATGACATACTAAGCAAAGCTGGAAAAATGTCATTGAAACCAATAAGTGTTGAACTCTATACAGGGTGGGCCAAAATTATTTGCTCTTTAAATGATAATAAATTCAGTGTTTATTTACTTGCAAACAAGATTAATGGTTAAAATTTAAAAAAAAAAATGATATTGACTTAGAAAAATTAACAGTTTAAATTAAATATTATATAAAATTTAATGCATGGATCTGAAAAAGTTAGTTATAAGAAATTAAAGCGAATACTTCTGGGTGGGGGGACACCCTGTATATCTAATCTGGTAGTTAATGTTGTTCAATCTGCTCACAGATGAAGTGACGTATGTTCTACCAACAAATACTGTGCATTTAAACAAAAGTAGGAACTACAAGGAAATGCTTACTAACAATCAGGAAGCCAGTTAAAAATTCTGGGAATGAAGAAAGACAACCTGAAGAACTTGACACTCACAGGACATATTGAATGCAAGAGAACAGCAGAAAATAGCAAATTACCTGCTTAATACATTCATGTGTGGATAATAAATCCTGAACATAAGATAACTCTAAACTGCTACTAATAGTCAAATTGTCTTATGTTTTTGCATCTCTTTAGGGTGATGCTGGCCTGACAGGACGAAAGATTATTGTGGACACCTATGGAGGCTGGGGAGCCCATGGAGGTGGTGCTTTCTCTGGTAAAGACTTTTCCAAGGTTGACCGTTCGGCCGCTTATGCTGCCCGTTGGGTAGCAAAGTCTCTGATTAAGGCTGATCTTTGCAAGAGAGTGCTTGTACAGGTGAGTGTGAGCTTATTATTGAAAAGTTATTTTCAAAGTGCTTTCCATTTTTGGTTGTAATTGAAATGTCATGAATTTTTAAACCAAAAAGAAAAAATCAGTATCTAGAGAATTATTTTTTTTATATACAAGGTGCTTAATATCTGTGATAGAGCTAACATCAGGCATCAAGAGATGTATAGGTATTGAATACGGGTTGTCTTGCAACTCATTTTCTGAAGTAATTTTGCAACCTGTTTATCAGTTAACATTGTACTCAAAGGGCCACATAAAAGTGATGTCAGTTCTGTCTATGTAAAGAGACAATCATTTGGTCCAACTGCAAGTGGAAACCAAAATTATTATTTTATATATGCCAAGCACTTTCCAGTAAAGAAGTCATTCCATAAAATATTCAACATGGAAAAGATCATTAAGGGGCATAACTAGTGTGTTGAGGGAAGAATCCCACCTGATATAAGTATGCGTAATTGTTGGAGGCAGTTGCCCCTTAAACAGTCAATGTGTCATTGGAAATTAAGTCGAAGCAGATGGCCTCCCTATAACATTAGATAAACCAAGGGTGGATTCAAAAGCAGATACAGTGACTGTAATCTGAGAAAAATATTTACATCGCACTGTCCTGTTGAAATGTGTGAATGTCATTTTCCAAGCCCTCCTTTACGTGTCCCAGAAATTTCAGCTGCTTCTTTCTGATGTTAAGTATGTTTCCTCTTTGTTTGCATCCTCTCCAAAACCTCATCATTGCTTTCATGTTCAGTCCATGGTACTCTTAGCATCCTTCTGTGGAACACCACCTCTGTTGCCTAAAGTCTCTTCATTTTTCAGTAGACTATCCATCATTCATTGCCATAAAGATGGAGAGACATCGCATAGCAGTTTATTACTCTTGTCTTTGTTACCAACAAAACCCCCCTCCTGCCTTGTAATACTCTGCCTAGCTTTTGGAATTCGTCTTTGGCCATCCCAATACGTCTTCAGATCTGTCACACTTTCCATCTTCTGTCAGCACACTTCCCAGATATTTAAATTTCTGCACCTGCTTAATTTTTAGTATCCCCAACCTGTAGATCTCATTTCCGGCTCATCTTTTTGCTGATTAACATACGTTCTGTCTTGTAGTTTATGCTTAGTTCCTTCTTCTCAATCTCCCTTCTGTAGGAGGTTTTGTAGTTTCCTTTCGGTGTCTTCTATCAGCATGGTGTCATCTGTATCCCTTATGTTGCTAAGATTGTGGCCACTAATGATGAATTCTCATATTCTTTCCAGTCCTCTCAGAATTGACTCACTGTTTAGGTCAAATAAGTCTGGTGAGAAGACACATCCTTGCTTTATGCCTCTTTCTATTTTTGTATATCTGAACTTTTTTCTTTATCTTTATGCGAGTGTAGAGCTTTTTGATTATTCTAATGGCTTTGCCAAGCAGCTCTAACAGTTCTTTGTAGTGTATGTTGTTGAACGCTTTTGCATAGTCTACAAAACACAGGTGCATGTTCTGCATTTGTATTACTCTTTCTGATTGCATTCCTTGCTCCAGTTTCTTTAATGAACCCATACTGTCCTTGTCCTATCTCTGGCCTTATTCTGCTGCATGCTCTCTGAAGAATTTTTTCCTTCTCTAATATGAGCATTCCATCTTGGATTTTATGCAGCTTGATGCCTAGCAAGTCTTCTGTTAGTTCCCTTATTTGTTTATTCATGTCCCCTTTATCTGTGGTGCTCAATTTCTCTTTTTCTGCACATTTTTTGTTTAGCCACTCTCCTTTAGCCTGTTTGCATTTGCTCCTTATTTCATTGTGTAGTTTTCTGTATCCTATTCGGTATCTTAGTTTTTTGTTTTCTTTGCATCATATCAAGAATCTCATCAGTGATTTTATTTTATTTTATTTTTTTTTCATCCACTCTCCTTTGGGATGATGTCGTTTGGTGATGCCAGTAAAGCATCTCTAAGTGGGCTCATTTCAAGTTTCCATTTCAGGAGTTCACATAATTACCATATTTAAGTCCAACACCATGAATGAAATAGGACTAAAATTTGAGCTTTAGCATATATATATATATATATATATATATATATATATATATATATATATATATATATATATATATGGCATGGGCAACAATAACTGAAAAAAAAAAACTTTTTTTTGTGGAACCAAAATCCTTCACTTTTTTGCAATCACTACCGAGTGACCATATCCAAAGAAACACTATTGGAAAAGACTTTCAGATGTTAATAAAATTAAATTTTATCACTATTTATACCATTTGTAAGAGAAAAAGATTGGGAAAATATGTTGAAAAACATTTGACGAGTTTTAGGAAATAAGTGTGAAATCTCTTTTCAAAAGAAATGAAGAAAAAAGGAAATACAACATGTCTGAAATGTATTTGTTTCAGGTTTTTTTGGTGGGGGGGACCTTTCACATTTTCAGCTATTCAAAACAAAGTTCCATTTTAGCTCACTGTAATAAAAAAAAAAAAAATAAATAAATAAATAATCAATGAATAAAAGCACATACAAATTACATATTTAGAGATTTTCTTTTCTTTCCAGCCATATGAATATTTTTAAGATTAGGCCAGAAATACATGGGAATTTGCGAGTTGAACAAAGTTGCAAATTTATCAATCTCAAAAAAAAAAAAAAAAATCCTCCGATATTGACTAGAGATGCTCTCATTACCAAAGAAAATGAATGGCTTCCTTAGGAAGCAAAAATACTAAATTGAAAAAAAACTGAAACCAATATCAAAGCATAAATTGCTAAACCGAGCAACTTGTGTATGTGTGAAGAAATAGTCTTAAGGTGTGGTATATTTATGGTATAAAGTGCTCAATATCAGAGGTAGTGTGTGTGTGTGTGGAAATATAAAAGTGAACATAGAAGTCAACATTTAGAGGCGGCAATCTGTTTCATGCTAGCATGAAACACTGAAATGTGTGTGTGTGTATTCAATATTAGGTCAAGCTTCCCCCCTCCCTCTCTTTCTCCCTCTCTTTCTCCCTCTCTTTCTCCCTTCTTTCTCCTCTCTTTCTCCTCTCTTTCTCTCCTCTCTCCCTCTCTTTCTCCTCTCTTTTCTCCCTCTCTCTCCTTCTCCCTCTCTTTCTCCCTCTCTTTCTCCCTCTCTTTCTCCTCTCTTTCTCCCTCTCTTTTCTCCCTCTCTTTCTCCCTCTCTTTCTCCCCTCTCTTTCTCCCTCTCCCCTCTCTTTTTCTCCTCTCTCTTTTCTCCTCTCTTTCTCTCCCTCTCTTTCTCCTTTCTCTCTCTTTCTCCCTCTCTCTTTCTCTTTCCTCTCTTTTTCTCCCTCTCTTTTCTCTTTCTCCTTTCTCCCTCTTTTTCTCCCCTCTCTTTCTCCCTCTCTTTCTCCCTTTCTTTCTCCTCTCTTTTCTCCTCTTTTCTCCTCTCTTTTCCTCTCTTTCTCCCTCTCTTTCTCCCTCTCTCTCCTCTCCCTCTCTTTTCTCCCTCTCTTTCTCCCCCTCTCTTTCTTTCTCCCTCTCTTTCTCCCCTCTTCTTCTCCTCTCTCTTTCTCCTCTCTTTCCCTCTCTCTCCCTCTCTTTCTCCCTCTCTCTTTTCTCCCTCTCTTTCTCCCTCTCTTTCTCCCCTCTCTTTTCTCCCTCTCTTTCTCCCTCTCTTTTCTCTCTCTTTCTCCCTCTTTCTCCCTCTTTCTCCCTCTTTTCTCCCTCTCTTTCTCCTCTCTTTCTCCTCCTTTCTCTCTTTTTCTCCCTCTCTTTCTCCCTCTCTTTTTTCCCTCTCTTTCTCCCTCTCTCTCTCTTTTCTCCCTCTCTTTCTCTCCCTCTCTTTCTCCCTCTCTTTCTCCCTTTCTCTTTCTCCCTCTCTTTCTCCCTCTCTTTCTCCTCTCTTTCTCCCTCTCTTTCTCCCTCTTTTCCCTCTCTTTCTCCTCTCCTCTCTTTTCTCCCTCTCTTTCTCCCTTCTCTTTCTCCCTCTTTCTCCCTCTTTCTCTTTCTTTCTCCCTCTCTTTCCCTCTTTTCTCCCTCTCTTTCTCCCTCTCTTTCTCCCTCTCTTTCTCCCTCTCTTTCTCCCTCTCTTTCTCCTCTCTTTCTCCCTCTTTTTCTCCCTCTTTCTCCCTCTCTTTCTCCCTCTCTCTTTCTCCCTCTCTTTCTCCTCTCCTCTCTTTCTCCCTCCTCTCTTTTCTCCCTCTCTTTCTCCCTCTCTTTTCTCCCCTCTCTTTCTCCCTCTCTTTCTCCTCTTTTCTCCTCTCTTTCTCCCTCTCCCTTTTTCTCCCTCTCTTTTCTCCCTCTCTTTCTCCCTCTCTTTCCCTCTTTCTCCCTCTCTTTCCCCTCTCTTTCTCCCTCTCTTTCTCCCTCTCTTTCTCCCTCTCTTTCTCCCTCTCTTTCTCCCTCTCTTTCTCCCTCTCTTTCTCCCTCTCTTTCTCCCTCTCTTTCTCCCTCTCTTTCTCCCTCTCTTTCTCCCTCTCTTTCTCCCTCTCTTTCTCCCTCTCTTTCTCCCTCTCTTTCTCCCTCTCTTTCTCCCTCTCAAACAACAAAAAAAAACAGGCACTTTCATGACTTAATTTTTGGTTATGCTGTTTGTTTTTAGATTTCTTATGCCATTGGAATTGCGAAGCCTCTGTCCATCACGGTCTTTAGTTATGGGACCTCTAAGAAATCTGAAAAAGAATTGCTGGAAATTGTTAACAGCAACTTTGATCTAAGGCCAGGCATGATTGTTAAGTAAGTCTTGTACTTTGTTCATTGATCTTAGAAACTAAAAGCTACATTGCCTAGGCATAACATTTACCAATTAAGGTTCTTGCTCTTCTCGTAATTTCATTGAAACAAAATGTTTATTCTACCAACTATCTTGCTTCAAAATTTAGCATTTAGTAATTGATTTCAAGTTTGAAAATACAATTTACTTTTGGTCTTAATATAAAAGTTATTGGTGGGTGGGAGTTTTCTAACTGAAGTATCATAATCTGTAAGTCTTGATTATTTGTAAAATTTAGTTTGAATTTCTAGTAAGTACTCATCACTTATTAAACAAATCTTGATACTTTAAAAGAATTAATTTATTGCATTTTGGAAATTAACTTTTCTTTTTATTTTCTTAAGCTTTGCAAAATAAAATTATTCTTCCTCTTTCCCCGTACAAAAAAGTAGTTTTCTTAAACTGTGCTTTATATATTACCAATTAATGGAGGAAAAATTAAATAAAATCTATAGCCAGCTGTTTGATATTTTCTATAACTTAATAATTTACTTTCTTCTTCTTCTTCAGAGAGCTAGACTTGCGCCGACCAATCTACCAGAAGACTGCTTGCTACGGCCATTTTGGAAGGCCAGAGTTTACATGGGAAATTCCCAAAAAGCTAATCTTTTAGCTTTGGCGAAATAGTGCTTGAGTTAGATATTTTTTTTTTCCTTAAAAACTTTCTATCTCTCTCCTTACCATAATTACTTTCATCTTTCATTTAATTTTTTTTTTTTTTTTTTTTTTTTTTCATGTGATACTGACATTCGTAATCCACAGTGAATAAAAAGGCAGACTGATACTTGAACGGAGCACAATGATAGGATAATGGTGCGCATTTTCTTGGAAGATGTGGATAAACTGCTTTCAAAATCAATATTTGAAAATCTTGACTTTTATAGATCATAGTACATCTTGGTTTTATTATAATCAAGTTTCTTTATCCTAGTTTGGCAAAGAGGGCAACTACAGAAGAGGAGTGAATTCATGGCATCCATTGTTCATTATCAAAAAGTCAATGTTGCTTCACTTTGCTTCTGTGTTATTGACTTCATGCCAGCACCAATGAATGTAACATAGATTATTACAGTTAGGGTTTTCATGAGATATTGAAATTTTCACTTCTATTCATGAAATGACCAGTTACTAAATTTTTTGAAAATTTACTTTGATGACTTGGAGCAGTAATTAACTAATTAGTTTTTAGTATAGGTAGCTGACTATTCATTTAAAATTGTTGGTGCTATCAGTTAGCTGTGCCTGTTTGGTCTTTGTCTGTTCCTTTTTATCTGCTGCAAATGTGTCATTAACTTTGGCTTCTTACATGCACATTTGTCTTGTGTTTATGAAGATTCATTGGAAAAGAGCACTAGTTATAAACACTCGGGATTACATCGTACTATCCGTCAGCACTGGTGTGCTATTCCTTTTTTTTCTTACCTTTTTTCCTCTCACTTCCTTCCATGTCTATTGCACAGTGCTTTCTGCTGGGGAAGTCAGTATCATTGAAATTCTTTCTCTCAATAAAACTGCCGTGTGTGAGTGTGGGGAAAAGGAACCTTTCTCATATATATATATATATATATATATATATATATATATATATATATATATATATATATATATATATGTTAGTCCATTGGTGAGGACAAAAGTTATGTGGTTATTTTTGGAATTATTTTGATGTCACAAAAAACAATGGATTTTTTTTTTTTTTTTTTTTTTTTTTTTTTTTTCCTTTTCCTCCTTGTTAGTAAGAGGTTAAAATTACTTGCTGCTTTTTCCGCTTGGGAAATAAAACATTTCTGATGCAGAATATGGTGCACTTAAATTTTTCTTTTTTTTTTTTTTTTTTTTTTTTTTTCTCTTTTTCTCTCTATTCAACTTACTGAAGTAATCATTCCTGGCTGACTGGCTGCTTTTCTGCTGTTATAGGAATAATGAAAACTGTTTAGTAATGTAAAGTGTTTTTTTTTTTTTTTTTTTTTTTTTTTCCCACTCTGCTCAAAATATATAATAAAAAAAAAAAAAAAAAAGGAAAAGACATAAAACAAATGTCTTGAAGATCGCAATTGCAATACCCAATTTGTACATTTCACCTCTGTGGTCTTGCAGTTTGACATGTATCCATTCTTATTCACCTGTGTTTTAATTTTTTATCTTATTTATGGATTGTGGGATCAAAGAAAATGCAGATTGTTACCTCCCCTTCAGCTTCCTGAAGTATTTCCTTTTTAATTAACTGTGTGTGTATGTATTTTTCTCTCTCTCTCTCATCTTCAATTTTAGCCCATCATACAGTTCCATTTATCATTTGCTCTTAGCCAGGGTCGGGATGGCTACATGATACTTGGATATAATGGAAACTCCAGTACCACCAACCAAGAAGACTGACTAAAATTTCTGTTAGTCAATAACTTTCATATTCAATGATCAGTGTTTAATTTATTTACTTTTTTTTTTCTTTTCTTTTCTTTCTTTTTTTTTTTTTTTTTTTTTTTTTTTTAAATAATAAAGCAGTAAAATTCAGTCTGTTGAATTTATTTTTTATGCTTAAAAAATGTATAATTTTAAAGGATTTACCAGGAAAAAATTGATTTCTTTTTTCTTAATGTATATATATGTAAAAAAGATCTTTTAGCTGTAAATGTGTTCCTAGATTCATGGGGAGGAACAGTTCTGACAAATACTTGATATCTGATAATGTCTGGCAGTTATGTACAGAATTGATCACAAATTATGTCTTTAATTTTTTAAAATATCAAACATTTTGAGAACCACCTACCTAAGAATTATTCAAGTTCCATAGAATATTTTCAGATTGTAACTGTATAAAAAAAAAAAAAAACTTGGATGTTTCATGCAGATTTAATCATTTAATTTCTCTTAAATGCTAAAAATTTCCATTTGGGAATCTTAAGACCCTTAACGAGGAACATCAGATTTAAAACTTGGTTTTTCATTAATGAAAAACCACTTTTTATTTATGAATTTCCACTATCTATTATATATATATATATATATATATATATATAAAATTTTTATTCCACCTTCATATTTTTTATTTCAAACTGTTAACAATGGAGAACTTGTGTATTGGGTGTAAAGCACAAAACATACACTAATTTCTTTGAACTGGTGCTCTCATCTTAATTGGTAGAATTTACCTTTCTGTCTTTAGGTGACTTTCATGTTTTGTAACCTTTTATTTAATCCACTAGGGTAGATTTGATTAGAAAAAAAATAGGCATTGAGTTGAGTTCCAAACTGCTAATTCAATTGCTGAATCAGTAAAGACTTGATTCAGTGGAATGGACAGAAGCAGAATTGGGATAGATTAATTATGGTAGAATGAAAGTCCTGAATTTGAAAACCAACCAATTTGAATAAATTTCTATAATTCCTCTTCATGTAAAATAGGTTGGTTACACAAAACAATTACTGATCTATTTCAGAAGTGTACTGACTTCTGAGCGATCATCCAACTTTTAGTGAAAACTTTTAGTGTAACATTGTTTGGCTCGAACTCAATGATTGACCTATTCACAAATTTGAGAAGCTCTTTTTTTTTTTTTTTTTTTCTTCTTCTTTCCCCTAGGCTGGTATTTGAAATCAGTCTAGGCAGCAAACTTTCGCCAACATGCACACTTTCTATATAAAATATTGCAAATAATACCATATTTGAGTGTTATAAAGAACCCTACAAGAATGAAAGCTTGCTGAAAATTTCTTGAAGCAACTATTTTATAAAAATAGAGCAAACGAGACATGGCAAGGTGATAAATTTGCCAAGTTTGATAATGCAATGATCTGATTATACTTTGACATGGTCTCTTAAAATTATGAGGCATAATAATATAACATGGGGTGCTAGCTGTTTTGAGTAAATCAGTTTAAATTTCATAGCTTTGCTCCTAATCTACCTTATTTTGTGTAACATTTTCTGTTTTTGTTAAATTTTATTTAAAAGATCAGGTTGTTAGTACTAGTTAAGCATGTTATTGACCTTTACTACCAACCAGGATTTTGAGCATCTGTATGCAAGTTTAAGGATCATTAACAAAAACACTTTTGGGTGTGCAGCACTTCAGCAGAAGAAAGAATTGATGGGGTGGGGGCTTTTCTTCTGCACGAATGTATTTAGTATATCTACCTTTGTCATTTATATAGGCCTTAAAATTTTTAACAATTATTAAAATACAATTGTCTTTAAAAGCTTTAGGGAAGAAATTTCATTTTAAGTTAGAATAAAATTGTTATTAAATTGCTACATATTTTGCCAGTTGGATTTCAGTCATCCATTGATAAAAAGAAAAGTAAATATTAATTCAATAAGCCTCTGAATTATAAATTACTTTGACAACTGTTTTATACTCTTTTTGACTTGTAAACCCATGCATGGCTTTATAGAACTCGCAAGTTGATTTCTGTTTTTAAATTTAAAACTTTTAAACCAGGAACTGCTTCAATTGATCAGGTACTACAAAGAAAACATTTTAATTCTACAAAATGGGGAATAGTGTTTTTCCAAAACACTTGAATCTTTATCATGAGCTATATTAACTTTCTAATTCTCTGTACAATGAAAAGTTCTCTTGCTATTTTGAATAGTAGTTAGTGAAAAATTATTTCAAATGAGCATTGTTACTTAATCACTGAACTATGACAAGAAAAAACGACAACACTAACCAGTGCTGCTTTGAATAACTTCAAAATCACAAAGGCCACTTTTGGTTATATGACCTTGCCAATTTAAAAATAAAAAATTGGGAAAACATCTAATTTAAAATTCTTAAATTTTATACTTGTTACCAGA